TTAGATGTTTCGTCTTAGCATGGAACTCTTCCATTAGTGGGGGTTACATAACTGAATGGACAGGGGGTCGAACCTAGGACATTTAGGTCTTAGACTGATCGCCTATTTATTATTTATTTTTTTAACACATAGATATTGGTACAAAGAGGGCACCAAATATATATGCACCACACAAATCTCATTCGATATGTGTGAGGGCTGTGATACTGCACGGGTGCCCAAACCGAAGCAGGTGATTTACTAAGGGGGCCACGCCCCGAGCAGGGCAGTAGAGCATCGTGAGGAGATGCAGGTCCCATGGAAGTCGGTGGCCAGCAATTGGTTTATACTCCATTTGTTCCCGCAGGATACTGGAGCCCATGTGCACCATTGGTTTGGGATCTGGTTACAGCGCCGGACCTTCGCTTTTCGTCCTCTCGATTTCGTAAACAAACCCTCGCCACGAGAAGGCAGTGAGTAGGACTTCCCTGGCAGAGGCTGTATACGCGTGGCCATGTGAGAGCATTTGGAGAGGGAGAGCGGACTTTCCCGACTCTCGGCCGTACCAGGGCATTTGGGGGCATGGTATACATTATTAACTTTAGTCAATTTGTGATGAATTTGATAAAAATCTGTAAAGACTATTAAATAAATGAACTACACTAGCTCATTGATATCGGGCTTACATTATTATAATTGTTCACTCTACTACCACAAATATGACTTCGACAGAAGAGTGAGTAATTAGCACACGTTTTGTAACAAATAACTGCAAATATTGTTTGGCCGTGTATTAATTTTTAAACTACGATCACTGTCCATGTTGTTTGTATCATTCTTATGAGGATAGTACACAAGAAATTTATTTTAACATGAAATAATGATACTGGTTGATTAGTACCATTAATGACACATTTAAATGCCTTACATAATATTCATCATAATTTACTAACCAGTTTGTATCGTTCATCTCTTATACATACTGTCGCCAAGTTTAGTGCATAGTTGTATTTTAAGCGGTTTGTTCATGATCTCAACTCATCATCGTTACTGTTGATGGATTTTACTTTGAAAATCAGATAACCTCAATTATGTAGAACTTTGTCCCGTTTTCTGTCAAATGACTTTTTTTTTAACGGGCAGATATTTGGCTTTTTTCGGAGTTAACTGGTCTCTTGTTTTCTTTTATTGAAAGACAATCTTTGTCTTGTTCTTATATGTTTAGTATGAACAATCAACTAGGAAGTAATGTTTTTGATTGAGATCAAGAACCGATTGATGTTAGACCATCACAATTGAAAACCTGGAAGCACTGGACGGCCGTTTCGTCCTATTGTTGGACTCCTGAGCAGTGCGCATCCACGATCCCGCGAGCGGGACTCGAACCCAGGGCCTTCGGTCTCGCGCGCGAACACTTAACCTACTGGACCACTGAGTCGGCATCCAATGGTGTTAGTTTCTAACATCAACCAATCCACGAAATTGCGCGACCAACTTCCATTGTACTGAGGTAGATACCCGTCTCTACCCGACACGGATTAGCTCCACTGGTCACGACTTCTCACTAGAACTCCGAGAATTCCCTCACGAAGCTAGTCACTAGTAAGCACATGTTAATTACTAGTATAGGGGTTGTGGAGATTATTAAGTTTTTGATTGAGATCATGAACCGATTGATGTTAGACCATTACAATTGAAAACCTGGAAGCACTGGACGGCCGTTTCGTCCTATTGTGGGACTCCTCAGCAGTGCGCATCCACGATCCCCCGAGCGGGATGACAATATGATTTAAAAGAAATGGATGAACTTGCGGAATAAAAAGTATAATATACATTTGAAGTGTTAGATCTTAAGGAAGACAGAGTAAATGTATCGACGCCATTGTGGACTGTTCTGATTAGTGTATCTTACAATTAGTTACAATAATTGCAATGACCTAACTGTCTAATATGCACCTACCAGCATGGTTTAGTTCAATAGTCAATGACTTGATAAGTTGATGTCACAGCCTGGCTTAACTATCCCTAGTTCTCTTCCAACCTAATTGTGGAATGGCCAAATACTGACGTCGAGGTAGGTGATCGGACATATAGAATACATGTCTCAACTGCCTCGGTTTATAAAAACTCATTACCTCACCGAACGTCTTGCGATCTTCATCTAGTACCCTGCTTGTAATCTCGGTATTGCTCATTTAATACTCCCTACATATATGAAAGTTGAGTACTTTAACACAACGCTTACAACACTACGTTATTAGTGTAGTGTAACTAATCCGATATTGGCTTGTAGTTTACATGATATCAGATTATTCGGAAACACTGGACATAGATTCTCTGATAGTTGGTATTCGTTAGCAAGATTGATTTTTACTCTATTTAAGGGACTGATTTTACATGTGAATGAAGCACTGCTAATCAACCTGTTAAAGTGTGTACAAACCAATCAATAAAGCACGAAATTATACAAAATGAAACAGAAACTCGGTTGTTAACTAGCAGTAATTCATTTCATTATTTGATGCACATTATACAAGCATGAAGAATGTTGTATTATTGTATTGTATTGATGAATTCAACCAGTAATGATGAAATAAATAAACAAAATTCAATTCGTTTAATATAGTTTTGTTTATTATTCGATTGAAAATGGATTTCAATTTAATCTGCCTTGTGTTTCATCGTTATTTTGTAAAACATTGTTCCTGTTTTCATTGATTTTGTTTCTGGATTCATGTAGCTCACTCTATCCCTTCACCATTAATCTGTCTCATATATATATATATATATATATATATATATATATATATATATCATACGTGTGTATGAACATGGTTAGATAGGTTTGCTCAAACGCGTTTCTTCAAGTCTACAAAACATGTAGTCAATCTTGTTTGTATGTTGTTATCACGGTTTTTTTTTCTTCTTCTTCTTCTTCGGCAATGTATTACAGAAAGCTAAAGCACGAATTAGAATTTTTAGAAAAAAAAACAACTAATCAACCCACGTTACTAAATATTATTGATAAAATTGATGAGAGTGAATTATCTCGCATTCTCCTCTCATATTTGCCTGTCCGTATGCCTTCTATATTCTTCTTCTTCTTCTTCTTCTTCTTCTTCTTCTTCTTCTTCTTCTTCTTCTTCTTCTATGATAGACATTCGGTGATGATAATTTAATTACTCTCATTATAAGTCATAGAGGATATGTTAGATGAATGATGCTTGTAAGCTTTTTCCCGTAAAAAGATTTGGATTCAATGTAACGCATCAACTGTTACTATGTATCATAACATGTGACATTTACTACTGGCTAATATGAACGAGTAGTAGTATTTCATGTTTAAACTATGATTATTCAAATATTGATTTATTGGTTTTCTGTGATTTATCGCTTGGATTAACAACATCGCTCATCAATATTCAGTAGTTCCATGGACTGATACTTGATGTTTGTTTGTTCATAATTTTCTTACTATTTATTCCTACTCTCTAACATTCTTTGTCAGGGTGTGTAATGGTTGAGCACAGGTAACGTTCATGACCATACTAGTCAATGAAGATACTCAGTTCCACCAACTGATTCTTCAGATGTAACTAGTACCGCATTGGTCACTCGGCGATTTGAACATTGAAAAGTAGTTGTATTCTAGTCGCTTTTTGTGCTTACACAGCTTTAAGCTTGTTTTCATGTGACCAGTGGAGTAAAACCATGTGTGTTGTGAGGCAGTTACTCACTGAAGATAATGATGGACGGTCTTGGAACATCATGGATTGGTTGAAGTTAGACATGAACACCGTTGGATGCCAGTTCAGTGGTCTAGAGGTTAAGCGTTCGTGCGCGAGACCGAAGGTCCTGGATTCGACTTCTGCGTGTGGGATCGTGGATGCACACTGCTAAAGAGTCCCATACTAGTATGAAACGTCCGTCCAGTACTTGCAGGTTTTCCAAGGTGGTCTAGTTTAAATCAACTCCTGAATTCAACCGTTAAGTTACTACAATTACCTCAAACCCTCATTCTGACAACAGTTTTTTTTTATGTCGAAATTTTCTTTGTCAAAACTAACTTCAAGCAGAATATTTATTCTTAATTATCATTCAATTGATTGTTGATCTGAATCGTATGATGGAATGTGAAATTCCCGGTTTCGTCTCGCATACTGATCGTAGTCAACAATTAATTGGAGATGTTTTTTTGGAATTTTTTTGTGGAGTTAGGCTTTTCAATTTCATTGATGTTATTAATTCCCCATCTCTAGTTTTATTAATTCTCTCATTGTTGTTTGTGAGGTTTGGTGAGTCGTACTGATATAAATTTGTATCGTAACCCCTAAATTTATGTAAGTAATACATTTGTTAGGAAACGGGTACTAAGTAAGAATGGCAAATCAATTGATAAAGTAGTGAAAATCCATCAGTTGAGATGACTGGGACACGTGTTACGTATGCCCAACCCAACCACAGACTACCCCGAAGTGCGATGCTTTATAGTGTATGAGTAGGTTGGAAGAAAGCAAGGGACGGCCAGACCAAAATATGGCACAAATCCATGAAGACACTGACAAGTGAACTGAGTAATGTTGGTAGGTGTAGATTACCTGGTTGGGATCCGCGAGTCGATAGCGATAGCAACCGATGGTTAGAGACCTTGAATGACATGGCTCAAAATCGTTTGCAATGGCTCAGATGCATCCACTCTGTGTTCTTCGAAGTTCTAATCTTCTGAATTCTTCATGCCTTTTCCTTTTTCTCTTTGCAAATTTATTTCACTGTATTATACTCCTTGAATAATATCTTCAAACCCTAATGTTTCTGATTACTGCTCACGCTCTTACTACCTCTACCACAATGGGATTTGAATCGATAACTGCATGTGTGTGATAATGTGGTATGGCAACTCGAATTGATGTACATGCGACGATGTTCTACGTTGTTACTGACTGACTGAAATGTATGTCTTTCAGTCTAATATTTCAGTAAATTCGTTGTATATATATATCCATTATATTTAATCTTTTACAGAAGATCGTAAACTATTCATTGGTATGTTAGGAAAGCATCAAACCGAGAAAGATATTCAAAATTTATTTTCACCTTATGGGCTCATTGAAGAATGTACAATTTTACGTGATCAAAATGGTTTGAGTAAAGGTATGTTTTGTTCAAATTGTTGAATCATACAACAATTTTATGCTTTGATATAGATTTAAACAAAACAAGAATAACACTGTTTACAGAATAAAGTGAATTCTTCTTTATTCATGGAATCTCATCAGTTCCATACAGCTTGAATTTACAAGAGATAAAATAATTACAAACAAATGTTCTATGTGCTTTAGTTAGTTAAGTTGAGATGGATAATCCGAAACATAACCAAGAATTATACTAATAGGAAGAGGCCACACAAAATGTAATTCAACGTGGTTAAGGTTGATGAGTACTTATGTTCAAAAATTAGTAATACAGAGTAGAGGATGTGAGGTTACTAATACGGGGGCGGGGCTTGTAAACGTAATAAAATCAATAAAGGGTTGCATAACTGACCGAGATTATTCGAACTAAAATCAAATTAATCTATGAGTGTAAAAAAGATTATATGGGAGACAAGTATCATTTGATTACAATGGTGAAGTAAGACTTCTCTGTGTACGTAGATCAGGTCGGCAATGTTTGATAGGGATTGTGTTTGGTAAATGTAGTGAAATTAATGTTATAGAAATATTGCTGGCGTCTGCTGGGATCACCGGGAAAGTAATAGTGAGGTTAGACGCAGGGTATTACGGAAAGATGGTAAATCAGTTGATGAGGTTGTGAATCTTCATCTACTGAGATGGTTAGGCCAGGTGTTACGTATGCCCGAACACCGACTACCACGACGTGCAATGCTAACCGGTGTTCGGGATGGTTGGAAGAAAGTTAGGGGCGGCCAAACCAAAACGTGGCATCAGTCCACCCAGTCACTAACTTCTAGTCTGAGCCATGTTGGTAGATGCAGACTACTTGGCTGTGGTCCACGTGACTATCGTAACCAATGGTTGGAGACTCTTGGTGAAATGGCTCAGAATCGATCACAATGGCGTCGGTGTATACACTCTCTGTCTCCCCTTAAACTAAGAGATTAAAATCGCTTCATATCTTTCTTTCTACGAACTAATTCTTTCTTCCTGTACTATATTCTTATTGCAATCTTTCTTTTATATATTACCACCTTTGAATTAACACTACTTTTATGAATCCGGTGTTGATCTTGTTGTGTTAATGAGGTATGGCAACTTGGACCGATGCATATATGTGCCTGGTCCTACGTTGTAGCTGACTGACTATGTGGCGGATGGAGTACTATTCAGGTGCCCAAACTGAATGAAGTGGTTTTCTTGAAGAGCCATTGGTCAAGCCTAAAGTTGTAATCCACAAGTCAGTGGATCAACATTAGGTTGTGCAGTCTGATGTTAGCGTTTGATGAAGAAAGGGTTGATACACCATATGTTCCTTCAAGATATTGGAGCCGATGTGCACTATTGGTTTTGAATGTTGGAGTTTTCCATCTGCTGTAGATGGATCGTCCGTACCTATGAACGAGGATGAAGCACTGTACATTCGATTTTCGTCCTCAATTTGATAAACGGTATCCATGCATCGGGAAGTGAGTGATTAGGACTTCTGTGACAGTAGCTGTATGTGCGTGGTCATAAGAGAGCATTTCGTGAGTGTATGTGAGAGAGAGTGGACTCTCCACACCCTCAGCTGCATTTGAGGGCATTTAACGCAACAATAACTAATATGTCACAAATTTGCCTACGATGAGATATATCATATAACTTATCTTATACATAGATACTTATTCGAAAATTCTGACAACTAATCGACCAAGAACAAAATGGACTATGTTGCTTATTCCTGTTTTTTCTCTCACTTCATCTTAACAGAGAAAAAAAAACAACCAAAGCTTTATATATATACATTTTATATACTGGATAAACTAATGATTGTTTCATTGTTGTTATCACACATATGTTTTGTTAACAAGAGGGAAAAAAAGTGGCAGTCATTCAATTTCACCTAGGTTATTAGACTAAATCTATATAAATACCTCTGTATTGTTTTTGTTTTTCTAACAGTTCTAATTACACACATGTATATAGCTGTTCGATTGTATCACTTTTCAATTGTCTCATCATTCGGTTATTTGATAATTATTATTTTTTCTTCATTTATGTTACTGTCGTTATTTTGATTGTACAGGTTGTGCTTTTGTAAAATACTCCTCGAGTACAGAAGCGGCAAACGCTATCGATCATATGCATAATAGTCAAACAATGCAAGTAAGTTCTATGTATGGATTTTGTTTTTTGTCATTCCATTCTATCAGGAATCAGTCGGAGTGATATATTTTTATTCATGATCATTAATATGACATGATGTAATTGAAATCGGATGCTCCATTTTAGTGCATTGTATGATTATGAATCCTTTTTGTGTTTTATTGGAGATTTAACAGCGTGTTGTTTCTTGTTTGTCCCCATAATAATGGTCTGTTGTCAGATTTAAATCTCTTTGGAACGTAATGGTGGATATGGTATTATGATAGAATCAGTATAGTGTTGTAGATTCCTTCCTCCTATGTGGGGTTTATCATCCAGTTGACTAAGTTTTCAGAAAATCATTCCATTTAATTCAGTTTAAGCAGTTCAATATCGTTATGACCAACTCTCTCTCTACGCACACACACACACAAACTGAGGCCCCTACTTGGTAGAGGACTTACAGAATACATAACTGGGGACGGTTTTTTTTTATAAAATGTCAGTCAATCAATTATACACGCTTAATCACAAGTCAAACTCCACCTGTAGTCCTTCTAGAGTTACTGCAGGTTCCGGGCCCGCACAAAGGAGGAGGGTTGGGCACGGGGTCGGCAACCCCGTTGGCATTGTTTTGGTTAACCACATTATATCAGTACAGTGATATGAAATTGAGAAGGCATGTCAAATAAATGACAGTTTTATTGGTAGTAGAAAATATTAGACATATATGATATGCATAGAAAACGAAGGGTAAATTCATGGAATAGCAATGTCCATTATAATTTTGATATTTAAGATCTAGGAAAAAAACAGCCTGGCGATAGACGGCGATGAATGCAATATATTCATAAATCTTGAAATTAAACTACACATTTGCCTCATCTACCCTTGATTTTCTCAACTTAAGGGCAAATTTTATCTGGTATCATAGTTACTACCGTTACCACTTTAATACAAACAAATGTGACGTATTAATCAAATACATAGTTTCATTTCCTGTTCCATGAGTCAATTTTTATTGTAGAGTTAACTACTACTACTAGTACTACTACTAGGAAACCATAATTGCAAAATATGGTTTATAGAATGTTCAACCCAATTTTGATGTCTCAAATTAAATATCCAGGATAAGTGATTACGTATGTTTGTCTTTGTGTGAGAAACTGTAACTTTGGTTACATCATAAAACGTGTTGAAAAAAAATCAGTCTCAATGATTTGATTATTCATAAACGAATCGTTCACAGTATTACGGTATAAATGAAGTTCAAAATAATTGACATCATGCGTATGTATATTGAAATGTACTATAGGTTACCGGTCATCAGATTTCTGACCTAGTCTGGCGTTGTGTATGTGTGTGTGTTTGTGTTTTTTCTCATCAAATCATGTCATCGATAGTATTATACTTAGTATCATTCAGATTTGCTGACCTCAACAATGCATAACTGTTATATTGATTAGCACTCGGCGTATGGATTTAGCGTGTTTGTTTAAGGATACAATCAGTTTATCTAAAGTAATCGTACGGAACGTGCTCTCTCCGAAACGGGAATATCGAATAAGGAGGGCTGTCAATAAGATTATTAAGCTTTTTTTCCTATTAAAGATTGACTTAATTATCACTATTATCTTGATAACGTTTCAATATATACCTTATATTATCATGATTTTATTTTGTTCATTTCTTTTTTCTGCGGTTTTTTCAGGGTGCTTCTTCTCCGTTGGTTGTAAAATTTGCCGATACAGAGAAAGAACGTCAAGTTCGCAGACAGCATCAGCAGAGCACGACAAACGGTTCTTGTTCTCCGGCGTCAGGGCATTCTACCAGTACAGGGATGACTAATGGTCACTTAGATGGGTCTCATACATCAATGCAACAATATAATCAACAACAATCTCTTCGAACTCCAATTACGAATATCACAGAGGCGTCTAATATGGCGGTAGCAGCGGCCGCTGCAGCAGCCGCGGCTAATGCATTTCAACAATCACTTGTTGCGTCTAATGTTACACCAGGGTATTTACAATTCCCGGTAAGCTATAGATTCTTTATAAATATCATTGTTACTTTCACAGCTAGATCACAATTAAAAAAAATATCGGCTTTTAATGATGAGAAAGTTTTGATGGTAGATTGTGAGCTTGAAAATAAAAGTTTTACCGTCTAACTTCCGGGTGAAATTCCACCCAATCATTAGTGAGGTTCGATTTGTGCTTATATGTGTTCTTGGAGTACATGTGTCCGATCTTGACATTTTAGGTCTGAATGTAATACATAATTGTTTAACTGGGATTTAATACTAACAGGAGTGAAGACCATCTTATCCTCCCAAAACGACATCTGTGTTTGTTTGTGTGCTGTGGAATGTATAGATTGAATTTATGTTTCAGGTGTTCATTGAGTGTATACTTGTCAAAAAAGACTGGTTTCTATCTAACTGTTAGATCTGTATATCTTGAATTCCAATCCCTGGTAGGATAAGTGGCAATAAATTGACACTATTTAGGTATTCTTTAGTGGGACAATACAGCTGACTTCCTGGTCGAATAGTTATTTAGGCTTGTTAATTTTTAATTCATCTTGATTTTTGCAATAATTACTGGTGAACCTAATATAGTTCGCTCACTGACTGCAGGTATATGTAGTCATCTTCCTCACTTGTACCAGATTCTCCAGCTAAAACTGAAAAGTATTTTGAACCTACAAAACTGCTACATGGAAACCGACTATCAATAAACCATCACTGTACACTTTGTATGTGATCTATGCAATGAGTATAATGATTTTGTTTGAATTTCTTTAGAAACTAGCTAACTCAAATAATCAATGTAGTTCCATAGTTATCCATTTAAACACATAAACACTGATACAAAACGGCACTAGAATATATATGCACAACATAAACCTTTCGATATGTGTGACGGATGGAGTACTGTTCAGGTGCCCAAACTGAATGAAGTGGTTTTCTTGAAGAGCCATTCGCCAAGCCTTCGACCTAAAGTTGTAATCCACAAGTCAGTGGATCAACATTAGGTTGTGTAGTTTCATGTTAGCGTTTGATGAAGAAAGGGTTGATACACCATATGTTGCTTTAAGATATTGGAGCCGATGTGCACTATTGGTTTTGAAGTTTGGAGTTTTCCATCTCCTGTAGATGGATCGTCCGTACCTATGAACGAGGATGAAGCACTGTACATTCGATTTTCGTCCTCAATTTGATAAACGGTATCCATGCATCGGGAAGTGAGTGATTAGGACTTCTGTGACAGTGACTGTACAGCGTAGCCATAAGAGAGCATTTCGAGAGGGAGAGCTATCCTCGACCGTACCAGTGCATTTGGGGCTGTCAGTGGCTGTATACGCGTGGTCACATGAGAGCATTTCGAGATATATATAGAGAGTGGCTTCTCCCCGCCCTCAGCTGCACAAGGGAATCTGAAAGCAATAAAGGTAACTTCCATAATGAAGATGTTTTGTGTCCCATGTTAAAGTTCATTTGAGACATATTCTCATCGGTATATTGTTTTCGTTTATGTAGCCCGGTTTATTTCCTACCGCTTCATCAAATGCTAGCCCTGTTCCTAATGGTTTCCAAAGTTCAGTTACTCAATTTACTCAACAGCAACAACAACAACAGAGTCAAGTAGCTCAGCAAGGATCAGCTTCGGCTTATTTTAACCCTATGGCAGCTTTCATGGCGGCTGCAGCTGCAATGCAATATGCCAATCCACAATTATCAACTGGTATAGCAGAAAGTCCATCAAGTCGTTCAACATCTATTCCATTACAATTGAACACGATTGTTAGTCATCCTACAATCGGTGTTGCTCATCAGCATAATCCACTTACAGGAACTAATCATTCAGTACCGAATGCTTCAGCGTTAGCATCATTGGCTGCCGGTTGTCCAGCCACTACTTTACAAAATAATACACTTCCTCAATGTGAGTTAGTTGTGGATTTTCTTTTCATTTCAAAAACGATATATGACACTTAATTTTGTGTATCAACCTGATAAATGACATTTAAATCCGGATACTTTAGACAGCTATTAGCTGTCAGATTCACTATTAAAGTATTTCCAGTGTTTTAATTTTTATTTAAATCTTGGGAATAATCATGATATTTGAGCTATTTACCCATTTTATGTGTTTCACACTTGGCTTTATTCTTCATTGTTAAATGAATAAATCCTATTCTTTTTTTGTTTTCCTTCAAAAAGTAGCTTCATTGTTCCCTTTGACAGATGTCGCTCTATTATCTCCAGCCGCTTTAGCTGCTCTTACTCAAGTTGGCGCGGGTGCAGTTAATGGAGGTTTATTAACTGAAGCTGGAGTTTCCGGTAATAACGAATTTAACAATGCGTTTGGTACTGGTTTATTAGTTTCTGCTTCACCATCCACAATATCACCGCCGAGTTTCGCCAGCATAGGTAATGGTACTACTCAAGGTCAACAACCAGTTTCTATCTCTTCATCAACTGGTAGTGTTTTACCAAATGTTTCTCTTGGTGCAACTGCTAATATCTTGGTCTCATCTCCAGGAATGGTTACTCCGGTTGCTTCTACACCTCCTACCGTTAGTCCGGCTATTTTACCGTCACCAATAACAAATGAGCCTGTAGGTTTGTATGCAGCAGCTGTCGCTTTACAGAATTCAACTGCAGTAGGTCATACAAATGCGAACGGATTACAATTTCCTCAATTACATCCATCGTTTGCAGCAGCTGCCGCCGCCGCTGCCCAGTCAATGACACCATCTCCAGTGAACACTGCACTGAATTCGTATTTCACGGAAAATGCAGCTTTACAAGCCGCGGCGTTAGCTGCCGCTGCAGCCGGTTAGTTTCTATGCTCTTTTACTTACATTGGTCACATGCTTTATGAATACCATTAATACAGTTATTGTATAAATACGGTGGTTTGTATTATCATTATTATTATTGCTAAATTGACTGGATATTGGTTCGAAGTCATTTCCTATAATTCAGTTTGGGTTACTATGATTACAGCTTGGTTACAAAACATTTGGATGACCACATATTTGACTTTTGTGAATTCGTATTTCTTCTTCTGTATGAATTGTGCTTATTTTTGTTTTGTTTTATTGTTATGAATATAGAAAAGTTTTAAGGATTGATGAAGGGATTTCTCAATCGTTAAAATCAATGAATAGAATGTTAATCGATAGACACTAAGCAATAATACGCTATCTGACCAGCTGATTACTATTCACGAAATCATATGTTATTGACTAGTGCTTCTCAACTGATTAAAAATCAAAGAGAAGGCCATTAGGCAGAAGAACAAAGTTTATTATGTAATGAGATTGCATATTTATATAACAAAACATAAACCCAAAATAAACATGATAGGCGATTGGAAGAAATCAGCTTGTAGTTCATTCACTTTTCAGTCAAATCTAATTGTTATACTCAAACCTTAGATATGGTAACATGTATGTATTGTTTGTGTTATATGTGTTCACGCATACAACATATTGAATTTTCTGGTTTCATTGACATATCCAGCTTAATGATTACGAAATTCGGTCTTTGACAACTATTAAATCAGTCATAGTTTCGAACTCTCTTCCATCTAAATATAGTTTAGGCAGCTGAATATGGTATTACCATTATGTGTCACAGTAAACCAGTCCAACTCAGAAACTTGACCATATTACACGTTTACATTGGTCAATTGATTGGATCGTTACTATTTTGATTTAAGTTGCACTTATGTACTTTCTTTACAATATTACATTGCATTGAACAATAGAAAAGGTGAAGATTTGTTGTTGTATCGTTTTTTTTCTTTTTTATGAAAGAAGAAACTAAAATTGTTGAATATACCAGTTGTTAGGTTTATGTGTAACTTTTCTCGACATGGAGGCACGAAACAGATATGCGCCACATAAATCATTCGATTTATGTGAGGGGCTGGGATACTGCCCGGGTGACCAAACCAAATCAGGATTTGCCGACTTACAATTATTGCCACTCATTTATTTTCTCCTCTATATAATTTAAGTGTTTCATTGGAAGCTGTTGTTACATTTGAACAATCACTAAGAAACACATGGAATTCAATGTCCAGTTAACGACAATGTTTTGTCCACGTATTTTAAACTTAATCATTTAGTCTTACAGATTCATATCATTTTAACCTTTGTATATGTAAAGATTTATGGTTTAAAGGTGTGTGTGTGTGTGTTTGTGTGTGCGAGCTTAAGAACCTGCCTCGTTTTTGTTACTTACTAAGTGTTACGTGAACATGAAAATGTAGTAGTTGATTACTTTTTGATTTTGCTAATTTATGTTTTATTGTTTTTGCTTTGTTACAGCGTCTGGTCAGTCGTTTACTAATGATCCTATCGTTCATCAACTATATGCTGGCCTTCAAGCCTACGGGTTAGGTTAGTTTAGTTTATAATAAATTTTCTACTATAATTAAATGTGGATGTCTTTCGAGTTTGTTGTTAAGTATATCCAATTGTTTTAACTCATGTTTTTAATGCTGATTGAGTTCTATTAGTCGATTTGCATCATTTTCTTGAAAATTATTGATGAGCATCAACTAGCGGGAATCTTAAGTTCAATAGTGTTTCCTTGATAAATACATCTAATGATCTGATATCAAAACGTGTTCACTTTCTTTTAAAAGTCATTTGGTTTAGTAGCCACGTTGTAACTTAATCAATAGAATTCTATGAGTACTATAAATGACTTGACAAACATTATATTGATTACCAACTAGTGATCTGTGGAGTCAGATCAATTGGATTCGAATCTATTAGGATAGAATCATTTCCATCAAGATTTCTCGTACGCCTTGTTGGTGAATGCTAACTAGGACGAAGTCTATGTTTCAGGGTTCTGCTGTTTATTTTCTCTAACCACTCTAAATGGATAACATATTTTGTTCTGTTTCTTTAAGCTCCTTAAAGAAAGTGTACACATTCACTTGTGTATTTCATTGAGGAATATTCTGTATTCTGTATTCTTCACTGAACATGGTCATTAATAATAGAGAATATTTAGAGGTTGCTAGTAATTCGATCGTAAGTGTCTTCAGTGCATTGCTCATATATTTTAAGATCACTTATTTAGATATCCACTGGTAAGGCATAGTGTATTTGGTAAATCTATTGATAAGGTAGTGAGTCTCCATCAAGTCAGGTGGTTGGAACATGCGTCATGTATTCCCAACCATCGTCTACCTCGATGGGCCATGTCTGGTGCAGGAGTAAGTTGAACGAAAGCTGAAAGTCGCCAGATCAAAAGAAACATCAGTCCATGAAGTCATTGACAATTGGATTTGAGCTGTGTAAATAGTTTCGGTCCTTGTGATTGTCGTAACCGATCGTTAAAGACTGAATACAATGGTACAAAATCACTCACAATGCCCCACTCTCATTCAACCTTTTACTTCGTTTAGAACCTGAGCACCTAATTCCTCTTTGATCATTTTATCTTTGTCTTTACGTAATCTTTTCTATTACTACTGATACTATTACTACTTTTCCTACTCTTGGATCTATCTTGAAATAATTTTATCTTACTGTGCTAATAGGGTATGCCAGGCTCTACGTTACGTATAACTGACTGACTTGTTATTCACTGTATCTCTGGTCGACGAACACATGAACTAACTAGACGATTAACATTTTCAATTGTAATCAACTTCGGTCAAAACATGATTAATCTGATCAACAAGATACATTTTAAGCTTTTCACTTATTTCTACTTTAAAAAGCTTAATCACTATGTTAATGTCTAATTCATATTAGATCGATCTTTTGTTTCTATTTTGTAAGAAGAATTGAATCATCATTCAGAAAGGACTCTCTGTCTCGTGACCAATGCGTTAACTTAATACACGGCGATAGATCTCGGTTTCCAGTGTAGACATCAAATATGAGTTTACTACCAGTTAATAAGTCACACACACACACACTACCAGGATTCCACTGATCCAGCCATTGTTCCTAAAATTCTTATAAAAATCATATGATTGCTAGTGAAAAAATTTGTGGCGATACTTGAATTTGTAGCTTACATCACGAACCTGAATTTAGCTATCCAGTCCTCCCAAGTTATATAAGTCTGACGGGTTACATAATTCACTCTATATGTGTGTAACTATTACACTAAATTTGACCAGTGCTTTCAGTTCTCTTCTTTTTTTTCGTCCGAAATTCCAACCTTTCAGCTTATCCTACTGGAGGTGCCGCATATACCACTTTTCCTAATCTACATCATCAAGCTTTATCAATGCCTGTTCAACAGAAAGAGGGTACCAGGGAACTGATATTAACAGGTAAATTTATAGGTATTATTATTATTACTGCTCAATTGATTGAATTCACATAAAGTTGATGAGATCAATAGTTTGAGAGGAACAGATCTTAATTGTAGGACCTCTTCCGAACTAATCGTTCACCTTAATACTATATAATTCGTTCAGCTCCTAAACATTCTGGACGAGATTATGATTACATTTACTTATGTCAAAGACTTATGTTCTTGAGATCAAAGTCATTGATTATTGAGCTGAGTGTTATAGGCAAGTCTATACTACTAGGTTGTAGTCTTCGCGATGATTATAAAAAGTGTCTAGAGACGTTGAGTAGTATGCCTCAGAATCAGTTTTAATGGCGCAGATGCATTCACTTTCTGTCTTTACTTAGATCTTTATCTTTGAAATTACCTCATAATTATTCTGTTTATTTATTCGTCACTGGAATAATTTATTTTGTAGATGATGTTGGCTTTTCCTTCTTTCATCATTTGGTTTGCATAGAATTGACTGATGAGGTTTTGTTGATTTGTGTGCTACATCTACCCCAAACGGCTTCATCACCCTCGTAATTTCTGATACCCTTAACATATGGTTGGATAATTCGTTTGTTGGTTTCTGTACTTGATTTCGTTTTTACTAATGAATTGGGTTGATATTGTTCGATGAAGTTGCGTGGATAGTCATTCTTTTCAAGGATAGTCCCTGGATAATTTTTGTCATTTTTCCTCGCTGCAAGTGTGACGCAGTGTTTTCTCATCCTCCATTATGGAATCACATCAAATATATGAAAATATCTTTAGAACATGATTATTATTTGAGTAAGAGTGCTCGCTGAGTTGTTACGTAACCACGGCGTTTTATGTTCATTCTTTAGCGAATTCTTTATGCTATGAAGTTATTTCTTGTTGTTTGTTGTCTTATTTATGTTTTTCGTACAGGTCCTGAAGGATGTAATCTATTCATTTATCACTTACCACAAGAATTCGGTGATAATGCATTAGCGCAAATGTTTATGCCATTTGGTACAGTGATCAGCGCTAAAGTTTATGTTGATCGAGCTACTAATCAAAACTATTCTGTTTTTGCTTTAAACATGTTTTTATTGTTTAGTACATTGAATTTAAGAGATTTTGTAAAGATTCCCCCTCTAAACTTTCTTCACAATTCATTAACTGCTATTCCATCTTGTTTTTCGGCTTTTTTTTTTATTTTACCATTCATAAATCACTGTGTAATTATTTATTATAGTGATTATTGAGATTTAGATGGTAGATGGAGGTAGTCAACAGGAAACCATGGACCCGGGTTTCTGGTACTTGGCACTCGTCAGCAAGGTGTACCTGTAATCTTGAGGGAACTGGTGCTCCCTGGAGGATTCGATCTCGTGTCACCCAGCTTCACAGTCAGAGATGTTACCACTGAGCTATCCGAGCCGTGGACTAACCTCCTATAGGACTGAGATGTAATCACAATTGATTGATCACTGGGTGGTGATCAGTGTCATGCTTGTCTAGTCCTTATTAATGCAGATCGAATGCTATCGATCATGTTGCAATGTGGCCACCAATCTAAGTGACTCGACACTGCGGGCACTATGTATTGAGATTTAGATGGTATCCAACATTACAGTTGGTGTATGTTCTGTTTCGAATCACGTGAATTATCCCAATATAGATGAATTTTGGAGAGTTTCTTAAAATATATTCACATAATTTTGATGCTATTTTCTAGTGAATTAATAAAAGTTTTTTATAAAATCAAAAATGAATAAAGAAAGTATATCAGTATAGGGATTCTGGAGATTAAATACTTACGCCTGTTACTCCTGGTGGAGCATAGGCCGCCGACCAGCATTCTCCAACACACTGTCCTGAACCTTCCTTTCTAGTTTCATTCAACTGTTATTCATTCTTCTTATATCTGTATCCACTTCTCAGTGTAATGTGTTCTTTGGTATTCCTCTTCCCCTTTGGTCTTGAAGATTCCATATGAGGGCTTATCTTGTGACACAGTTCAATGCTTTCCTCAATGTGTGTCCTATCCACTTACAGCATCTTCCCGATTTCTCACTCCACTGAAATCTGGCTTGTTCTCTCCCATAGTAGGTTGATGTTGATAGTGTCTGGTCAACGGATCTGAAGTATTTTGTGTAGACAACTGTTAATAAACCTTTATATCTTCTGGGTGGTGGCTTTCGTAGTTCTCCGAGTTTTCACCCCATACAGTAGGACTGTCTTCACATTTGTATTGAAAATCCTGACCGCGGTGTTGGTTGACAGTTGTTTTGTTCTGGAGATTACTAAGCTTTTAATTGAGATTATGAACTGATTGATATTAAACCATCATTGAAAATCTGGAAGGACTGAATGACCGTTTCGTTCTATTGTAGGACTCTTCAGCAATGCGTATCCACGATCCTGTACCTAAAGGATTCGAGCCCTGTGTTTTCAGTCTCGTGTGCGAACGCTTAACCTCCAGACCACTGAGCTGGCATCCAACACTGGTAATGTCTAACTTCAACCAATCTACGAAATTGAGCGACACATTCACCATTGTCTTCGGTGAGTCACTATCTCACAACAGGCCCGATTGAACTCCACTGGTCACGTCTTTAGAATTTGAAACGTTTTAAGCATTATACAAAGATATTTGTGTGGTGGATTTTTTGTGATGGAAGATAAAAGACATCTATGATTACATTTCGAGTTAAAACTCGAAAAGAATTCCCTCAGTTCTCATTGACTCGTTCCCAAACTAGACTTTTAAAAGTTTTAAATTCAGGCTAATGTAGGACAATACATGATACTTCGATAGTTTTCTAATGTTTTGACTGATGGATTAAGGAATGAGTCGTATTATTGTACGGTTATTGACCGTTTAATGTAGTTTTGATCGTTTCATAAAATATGGATATATTCGATGGGGAAAAGGTCATAACAATTAGTAAATCCAAAGGTCAATATAATAATTGTGATTGGGCGTCTGTTGAGTGCAGTACATATTGAGTAGATGCTGTTTGGGGCTTTATATACCGATTACTTAAACGTTAAGACAGAGTTGGTCAACGACTATATGACTGCAAATACTATATCAAGCTCGCTGTATATACTCTATGTGTCAACATTTTTTTTGATTGAGATATTGATATGTATCAGTTAAAAAATTGCACATACATTTACTCATATAATAGACAGCATGAATTATGTCAATTTATCAGAGAGATGGGATACAACTTCTGCACAATTATTCACTACTCTATTGTAATCTGTATGTGTGTGTGTATGTGTCAGTTTAGGTATGCATGTGAATTTGTTGAAGCTCATACATGAAAACGCTGGTTTATAAGTGTAGGTTATCTGATGAAAAATGAACATATCAGGTATGGAAATTGTCAGTTTGTGGAAATAATCCATTGTCAATGACGAATAGAATGTACGTAAAATTTAAAGTGTTCATTCACTCCTTCAAGCTGTTTTCAGGGTTGAAATTTGTTACTTCGAAATGATTATTATTATTATTATTATTATTATTATTATTATTATTATTATTATTATTATTTGCGTAACTATCGAAAGAAAATAGACCAAAATCAATTAGATGATTAGTTTTCATTATTAATTTTTAAACACTACCCCTGAACAAATGTCAACAAATGTACTTGTTTACTCAATGTAGGTAAATAAGCGTGATTCAGTTCTTCAAGTTACTTAGGAAGTAATAGTATATTAGCGTCAATAATCATTGGACGTCAATATGGAGCTCGTGAACTTAAAACTTTGGACAATCAGGGTGATTACACATCTGGTCGTTGTTGTATATTTCTAAGTGATCATGATAAATATAGTGATCTCCACTCTTTACCCTTTCAACGTTTTAACGACTGAGGTTATCAGCAATCTCCTCAATGTTTAACGAACAGCTTGTAATACACCATGTCCTGCCATCTAACGTCCAACTGTTTGATGAATGCTGCATAATAAAATTCAATTTTCACTAAAGATACCACTTCAGGTATTTTAAATAATCCACAAACGTCTCCAGTGTACGTGTTCGACGTAGCGGAGACCTATATAGTAAGAAATGTAACTTGATAAGAACCGCTTTATTATAAAGCACTCATCCATGAACTGGCTAAAGAATTATCTGAAAGCCTTGAATTTAACACATTTATTAAATATTGAAAACTGAATTTAGCTTCAATTGACTCATGAATTCAACTATCAAAATTGTTATAATATCCACAAAATCCCCTCTCTGATTACAACCATCATATGCTCAAGTGTGAAGGTGGTCTCCAACAGGTATTTCCTGGAGTTCTAGTTAGAAGCAGTGACCAGTAAAGTTCAACCGAGTCTGTTGTGAGATAGTAACTCACTGATGAAAATGATGGACGGTGGCGCAACTTCTTAGATTGATTGAAGTTAGACATTAACACCGTTGGATGCCGGCTCAGTGGTCTAATGACTAAGCGCTCGTGCGCGAAACCGATCGGTCCTGAATTCTAATCTCGTGAGGCGGGATTGTGGATGCGCACTGCTGAGGAGTCCTACAATAGAATGAAATGGCCGTCCAGCATTTACAGGTTTTCCATGATGGTCTAGCTTCTATTGACTTATGAATTCAAGTATTAAAATGATTATATATCCACAAAATTCTCTCTCTGATTGCATTCATTTCTATCTATAAAAATTCATTCACAACATGATTTAAATTAATAATTTTTTCGAGACGACAATCATTTATATGATCTATTTGTCACTAGTCTGAACAATTCTTTTGTTTAAAGATTCACATCATGTTAAGTAGTGTCTGTCTATGTTCTATACAATTAATATTAAGTCTCATTTAAGGTTGTCGTTTATCTATTTAATGTTGTACAATAATTAAGTCAATGATTCACCACTGTATATTATCATAAGAGCACATCCTTTAGAAAAAGTGTTTTTTTGTTGTTGTTGTTGTGTTGTTTTGTTACTAAGCTCTAGATTACTTTAAATGGTAATGCTTCAAACGTGTAACTTGGTTACATAGACTACCAGAATTCTTGTCTCAACGTGTAATATCAATGGAAGGAGATGGAAAGTGAGAGACAGAGAGAGATTGTGTTTCAATAACATTTGTGTGTATTTTTATTCATATTTTAAGGCATTAGACTTAATTTACTTATCATTACAGTTCACTTAGTAACATATGATATATGACAATAATAATAATAATAATAATAATAATAATAATAATAATAATAATAATAATAATGGATATGAACAATAAATAACCAACGATATGATGCCTTATCAACTAATACCTAAACTACTATTAATCGTTAATTAGATAATATAATTGATTTTTAATCAGTTACAAGAATCGTATTCGGGACATCATCTGTAAAATGAATTTTAATGATTCTCAATAATTAGTGTATTTTTTTTTGTTATTAAAAAGGTATTGTGTAAAGAATGATTTGATTCGCAGGTTATATTCGTCGTGTACTGATGATATCAAATAGAGCAATATAGAACTCAAAGAAGTAATCGAGTATTGTATTTCAGTACAAGTCGGTTTGCTTTTTATTTGGAAATGTACATAAATTACCATCTCATGAGAATGGACCCAATATATTAAGACCTTAAGGAAAGTAAGTCATATTTATATCATTGAGTTAGAATTCAGTGATAGATATTTTCAAATTCAGTGAATCACTTACATAATGCGACGACCATTCAATCCCAGACAATGATCACTATATTAATCCTGTAGAAAACCAATACTCAATCAGTGATGACGCCCAAATTGGACCTTGACAACAATGTCACTAGTAAACAAACTATGATAGTTTTAGCTGAAATATTTTATACAAATAGTTTTAAATTGTATGCAATACTTTTCAAAGCTTCGAGTTAACGATGTAACCGTAGTAGTAGTAGTAGTAGTAGTAGTAGTAGTAGTAGTAGTAGTAGTAGTAGTAGTAGTAGTAGTAGTAGTAGTAGTAGTAGTAGTAGTAGTAGTAGTAGTAGTAGTAGTAGTAGTAGTAGTAGTAGTAGTAGTAGTAGTAGTAGTAGTAGTAGTAGTAGTAGTAGTAGTAGTAGTAGTAGTAGTAGTAGTAGTAGTAGTAGTAGTAGTAGTAGTAGTAGTAGTAGTAGTAGTAGTAGTAGTAGTAGTAGTAGTAGTAGTAGTAGTAGTAGTAGTAGTAGTAGTAGTAGTAGTAGTAGTAGTAGTAGTAGTAGTAGTAGTAGTAGTAGTAGTAGTAGTAGTAGTAGTAGTAGTAGTAGTAGTAGTAGTAGTAGTAGTAGTAGTAGTAGTAGTAGTAGTAGTAGTAGTAGTAGTAGTAGTAGTAGTAGTAGTAGTAGTAGTAGTAGTAGTAGTAGTAGTAGTAGTAGTAGTAGTAGTAGTAGTAGTAGTAGTAGTAGTAGTAGTAGTAGTAGTAGTAGTAGTAGTAGTAGTAGTAGTAGTAGTAGTAGTAGTAGTAGTAGTAGTAGTAGTAGTAGTAGTAGTAGTAGTAGTAGTAGTAGTAGTAGTAGTAGTAGTAGTAGTAGTAGTAGTAGTAGTAGTAGTAGTAGTAGTAGTAGTAGTAGTAGTAGTAGTAGTAGTAGTAGTAGTAGTAGTAGTAGTAGTAGTAGTAGTAGTAGTAGTAGTAGTAGTAGTAGTAGTAGTAGTAGTAGTAGTAGTAGTAGTAGTAGTAGTAGTAGTAGTAGTAGTAGTAGTAGTAGTAGTAGTAGTAGTAGTAGTAGTAGTAGTAGTAGTAGTAGTAGTAGTAGTAGTAGTAGTAGTAGTAGTAGTAGTAGTAGTAGTAGTAGTAGTAGTAGTAGTAGTAGTAGTAGTAGTAGTAGTAGTAGTAGTAGTAGTAGTAGTAGTAGTAGTAGTAGTAGTAGTAGTAGTAGTAGTAGTAGTAGTAGTAGTAGTAGTAGTAGTAGTAGTAGTAGTAGTAGTAGTAGTAGTAGTAGTAGTAGTAGTAGTAGTAGTAGTAGTAGTAGTAGTAGTAGTAGTAGTAGTAGTAGTAGTAGTAGTAGTAGTAGTAGTAGTAGTAGTAGTAGTAGTAGTAGTAGTAGTAGTAGTAGTAGTAGTAGTAGTACATTTAAGCATATGTTGTTTTTTTAATTCTTTTTTGTTTCTTCATATGGGACTGAATTGAAGGCTTATTATTTGTAGGATAATAATAATAATCATAGAATAGATTATAACTAGAAAGTTGGTTGAGTGTTATGTTGATTATTCTGTTACAATTTTTAATTCATAGATGTACTCTATGATAAGAGTACATAATAATAAGTACTTTCGTCTAAATTTGATAGATTGGTTATACCGTATTTGGGCACCGAGTTAATGTGAGACATTAAAGTCAGTCAGTCAGTCAGTCAGTCAGTCAGTCAACAACAACGTAGAACTTCGTACATAAGAACATCACTTCGAGTTGCCATACCGCATTACCACACAGAAACAATTATCTATTCAAATTCCATAGTGGTAGAAGTAATAAAAGTATAATCAGTAATCGGAAACATTAGGGTTTGAAGACATTATTCAAGGTGTATAATCCAGTGAGATAAATTTGAAAAGAGAAAAAGAAAAGGAACATGGAGAAGTGAGAAGATTAGAATTTGGGAGAACACAAAGAGTGGATGCACCTGCGACATTGTAAACGATTTTGAGCCATATCATTCAAGGTCTCTAACCATCAGTTACTATAATCTCGTGGATCCCAACCAGGTAGTTTACACCTACAAACATGTCTCAGTTCACTTGTTAGTAACTTCATAGATTTGTTCCATGTTTTGATTTGGTCGCCTCTAGCTTTCTTTCAACCTACTCTTACATCAATGAATGAATTTGAATGAAATCTAATGTTTCGTCTGGCAATCAAAATTATTGGTAATTTTAATGTTTGTTTCTATATTTCCTTGAAAAAAGCTTGGACTAGATTATTAGGCGAAACGTTGAATTTACTTCATATTCATATACATTCTTCTTCCTCTTTAATGTACCTATTTTTTTGTCGTCGTTTCGTTCAGACTGTCGATAAATTTACATTAAGGTATAGAAGAGTGATTGTCTGCTGTAGTTAGTAGAGTTTTGTTTTTATAATTTAATTTCCTTTTAATTCTCGGTGTGTTTAAATTGTAATTATTAGTGGGATTATGCCTTATTTGGGACTAGTCAATTAGACATAGATGGATCTCGATGTGAATGCTCAAGTTTATTTTTCTATTTTATTAAATAACCAATAGGATTTTGAAATATTGGAGAAGATTTGTAACTCAGGTGGATGATTTTGATGGAGTTTTATTTATTTATTTTAACACAGGTATTGGTACAAGAAGGCACCAAATACATATGCGCCACACAAATCTCATTTGATATGTGTGAGGGCTGTGATACTACCCGGGTGCACAAACCGAAACAGGTGGTTTTCTTAGGGGGACACACCCATGGCCTTCGACATGAAGGTCTGATCCACAAGGTAGTGGAGCGTCGTAAGGAGATACAGTCTCATGGTAGCCGGTGACCAATAATTGGTTCATACGCCATTTGTTCCCTCAGAATACTGGAGCCCATGTGCACGATTGGTTTGGAATCAGGGTTTTCCAACTTCCCTAGGTGGACTCGCCATGTCCACCAACTCGGTTAAAGTGCCAGACATTCGCTTTTCGTCCTCTCGATTTCGTAAACAACAGTAGTTCCACGGGATGGCAGTGAGTAGGACTTCTCTGTCAGAGAATATATACGCGTGGCCATATGAGAGCATTTGGAGAGGCAGAGCGGACTCTCCTCACTCTCAACCGTACCAGGGCATTTGGGGGTGATGGAGTTTTATTCTCTGAGCTGGATGCTTTATGTCGTGAAGTTTTCATCGTTCTTCTAAAAACAATATCATCATCACAAAGTTCAGGTAGAAATGTTCAAATTTCTTTATATATGACTCACAGATTGTCTTTTCGACCTCGATCTTGATTGATTATTGTTGACCTTTCGCCTGACATTATCTACCTCTTATTTTGATTTCATCTCCTTTTGATCTGATTCTTGGTCTTATATTTGTCCATGATTTTTCTGATTGGTTGATAGATTGAAGCAATTTCAATGTGTCGGTTGATTTCTTATTGACCTGAATGCCAAGCTTCTAAAAAAACTCTTTGGTGTAATTAGTATTCCCTTTACCATAAGTTTCAACATTTCTTTATTACCATTCATCTGTCTTCAATTGCTTCATTAAACAATCATCTAATGTTTGTTAACTTATATATATATATGGACCACTGAGCCGGCATCCAATGGTGATAGTGTCTAGCATCAACCAATCCACGAAATTGCGCGACCAACTTCCATTGTATGGTATAGATAGTTATCTCTACCTGACACAGATTAGCTCCACTGATTACGGCTTCTCATTAGAATTGCGAGAATTCCCTTACGAAGCTAGTCACTACTGAGTACATGGTAATTGTCAGTATAGGGATTGTGAAGATTATCAAGTTTTTCATTGAGATCATGAACCGATTGATATTAGACTAGTAGGTCAAGCGTTCACACGCAAGACTGAAGGCCCTGGACTCGAATCCCGCGAGTGGGATAGTTGATGCACACTGTTGGAGAGTCCCACAATAGGACGAAACAGCCGTTCAGTGCTTCCAAATTTTCAATGGTGATCTATCATCAATCGGTTCATGGTCTCAATCAAAAAATCAATAATCTCTATAACCCCTATACTGACAATATCTTTTGTATTGACAATTCACAAACCACATAATAAACTGTCAATCTAAACAAATACTTTTGCTAATGTTTAATAGACAATGGGAAACACTTTAGATTAACTTTCATTGTCAGTCAAAAATGTATATTTACAAAATATGTGTGTTTTATTTTACTCTGTTTTTTTTGTTTTAATGACTTTTTACTCAAATATACACCATCACACACACACACATGCACACACACATTCAAACACACTTCATAAAACTAATTTAGGAAAACTAAATAAAACCGTTCACTTTTCCTCGTAATAATAGTAAATGGTAACAAGAATAGAATTAAATGGAGTGGTGTAAATGACTAACTTTTCATTGAATGAAACATGTTGTTGTTGTTATTGTTGTTGATGTGTGTGTTTTGTCTCCGTCATACACTTTACTATTTCTCATTGTCACGATCATTTAATCGCTTGTTCAGTTAGTTCGCTTGACTGCCTATTACCTATTTTATTCACTTAGGAATAGAGTATTTTTCATGTACATGTAACTATTGTAAATGTGAACATGTTAACTAATCAACTATTTAATTGTTGGAAATCAATCAAATTTATTCTATATACAAACTAGTTTTTATGTATATTTGTGGTATTCTGTAAGTATGCCGAATATAACAACAAAAATTAGTCTATGAAAAGTTCCCCACCCCTAGCTCATTTCTCCCGTCCTCCCCCACCCACTCTCTCTTTCTCTCTTTTGAATGTATACTTACATAATCTTTTCAGTTTCATTCCACTTATCATCACTTAATTTCACTTATTTTTTTTCTCGTTTATATTCTTGTTTCTCTGACTATTTAATTCTTTATTTCCACTTAAAATTACACGAACACACACACACATACATAACACATACATATACACTCAATCATCCACTTATAAAAATTCCCTACTATAATTTTTTTTTTTATTATTTTTTCAGTATATTTAGTATAATTGATCATTTTCTAACGGTTACTTATTTGAAACTTGGTTATGAACGATTAAATATAAAAGTACTACAATTACAGTCACATTGAATTATGTAATATGATAGTTATGTCAGCGTGACATGAAAGTGTATAGTGTAAATGTATGTTTTGTATGTACTAATTAGTGCATTTGTTGTTCGTTCAGATCACAAAGCAATCTAAGTTAGATGGCTACTGAAAGCCTAGAAGAATAGGACAGCTGTTTATTCCTTGTATAGGATTTCTCAACAATGAGCATTCATGATCCCAACACCAATGGTCAAACTCACGAACTAAAGTCTTATGTCAATTCTTAATCTCTGAACTAGTAAATCGCTATTCATTGGTGTGCACGTCTAATTTCCATCAGTTCACGATATTGAACGACTATTTTTCATTCCCAGTGGTGGGTAACTGTCTTATATTTGATATGGTTGAAATTTGCTGGTCACGGCTCCTCACTAGAGTTCCGGAAATCACCTGTTGAAATTAAAGGTTAGTGAGCACATGATGTTTATTAATATGGTGGTTATTGAAATTGTTGAAATTTATTTGAACCACGAGGTTATCTCATCTCAGTTGTTTGGAAGTTAAATGTTCTCGTGTGAAACCGATAGCTCTAGGTTCAATTCTGTGGTGCGGGTTTGTGGATGCGGATTACTAAGGAGCCTATTAATAGAACAAAACACGCATCAAGTGCCTCCAGATTTTCAGTGGTTGTTTTATTTAGATTGGTTTTTGATTTTAATCACAATTCAATGGTTTCCACAATCTCATACTGTGTTTCTAACTTAAGTTTTTATTATGAGCCTTGGCCTTTTTGGTTGGTTATCACTACTTTTAGCCCACTCACCTTCTGCATGCTTAAAGTTTATGGCTTCGTTAATATATGGACAATATATGTACCATTCCAATTTATTCTTTTAGAATTTCAAGTTTTTCTTACACATCATATTCTTCCTGTGTTTTGGGGGAATTTTTGAAATGTAGTGTGGCGACTACCATTATCGACCCCGCAAATGAATCGTCCGTATTAGAATAGCTCAAATATTCTTTAACTCACAAGTATCACAGCACAATTGGGAGCCCTAATAGATATAATCGATTCTGATCGAGGTTTAAAACAGTTTTCCAACAAATCTTCTTGTTCAGTTTCGATTATTGATTTTATAAGTGAAGTAAACTAGACACCACATCAAACATTATTATGAAGAGTTGATTTTAAATAGATGTTTGACATGACATCTATGAATATGAAAATGGCGGTGTTTCTTACATATAATAATGTACCTTCATCTCTGATTTCAAATAGATGGGCTATATCACATCATGAAGTGCATCTGTACTCCATACAACCATTCGTACGTCAAAGCGAGTTCCTTAATCAA